GGCAGATCCACAGGGGCCCTTGTGCTCCATCATTGCCAAAGTGATTTTCCTTGAACTGAGAGAACTCGTGTCCCCTGCATCTCCTGTCAGTGCACCCACAGCTGTGTCAGCAGCCCCCAGGCTCCAGGCAGCCCCTCCGTGCATGCTGGTGTAGGGGTTTGACCCATCCATCTCCATGGGTTAGTTTGGAGTGTGTCACCCCACGTCTACAGGCATCCCATCGTGGTTCCAAAGGAAATCCTGTGTTCTCCAGCATGTTTGTGTTCATGGCTTGGTGAAGTGACTTTCCTTTGTGATTTTCCCTAATGCTACTGAACAGCTGTCCAACTCACACAGATAAAGGCTGAGATGCTGAGGCCAAGGCAGGAGTCACCTCCCATTTTTATTCCTGACATCCTTGGGCTGTAGTCTGGGGTGGGAACTGTCTGTCTCTTCCAGCATTAACCCATTATCATACTTTTTGAACAGCTCAGTAACAAAATCCTTGACAGAGAAACTGCAGACTGGAGACCCTACAGCTATCTGAATGAACTAGGTCAGTAATTTTTAAACACTTTAATCACTTTAGTAGACTTTAGAGCAATTCCAAATCCAAATCAGCCTTTCATAAAGGCATTAACAATAATGAGGAATATTGGTGTTGTCTTTAGTTCACAATCAGAATTGCCAGTAGTGAAAGATGGAGAATTAAAAATTGTTTTCTTTACCACAAACCACAGACTGGGAAAGCAAAGTCAATATTCATTTTAGTCTCCCTTCCAAGGTTGCTCTGTTGAATCACTATCATCTACTCTATAAATGTTTTTCTAAGGACTAACTCAGGACATTAAAAATTCAAATTTGGCTTTTTTTTTTTTTCCTTTCATGCTTAATAAAGCTTAGCACTAAATACTGGCATCTTGATGAAGGTGTGGAGCCTCTGTGGGAGCTGGGCTGTGCAATGCTCCATTATCTCCCAGTAAATCATTCCGTGGCAATTCTGAACCACCAGCCAGTGCAACCAAGCCAAGAGTGAAGTGTAATTGCCTGTTCTGAGTTTATTCTTCCTGGCTTGACTTTTAACAGGGTTTTTAACAGCTCTTAGCTCAAATCCTGCCCAGATTTAGTGCTTTGGATGCTATTTGTTTTCCTATCTGGGCACTCTGAGTTTGGCTCATCAATGGCCCAAAGCTTTTGCCCTTTCCTTTCCTGGGATTAGTAACATCTCACTGAAAATATGCAGGAGGAGGGAAAGTGCAGCATTAGGGAGTATTATGGGATTTTTAAGGTCAACTGTCTCACAGCTCACATGGCAAAGGAATGAACATAGGGCAGCACCAGGCATCACAACCTGCCCCGGGCCCACGCCGTGCCCCACTCCAAAGATAACTCTTCCCTGCATCAGGAAAATCACAAACCTGTCAAACTTCAGTGCAAAATCTTTTCATCCTTAACACCATCAATGTTTTCTGTGTAATAAGCTGCAGAACCACTGTTGTGCTTATCTGTATGTGACAAAGAGGTGGCTGTGTGTGAGGGTATCCAAATGCTTATCAAATCATATTAATTTTCCTTTTATTATTTTGCTGCTTTTTTTTGCACACTATTTGCTTTATTTGTGTTTAACTTGTGTTGTCCAGAGCTCCCCATGTGCCACCTCTGTTCTGCATTCATGCATTTTATTTTACCAGCAGAAATTATGCTAAATGCCTCTGCAGCAAGAATGATCTAGAAGTGATAAATACTTTAGCTAAGGAGCCTCCAGCAAAACACTAAATTTTTTCCCATAGCATTTTGCATCCCAGCTAACTTTTTCTTTCTTTTTTCAAACTAATTGATGAAAATTAGATTTTTTGCCTTTCTTCTCTAACTTTCACAAGGTTGAAGCCTTGTTCAGATCAAGGCTGGTTTTTACATGCAAATAAAAAGTTTTCACTTCTTGGTATTACTGTTGTGCAATAAAAGCTGCAGGTTCCTCTCATGAAAATTTCAGAAGATAGTTTAAACCTTCAACTTTGAATTATAAACATAAAAGTCTAATAAGGTCACACAGGGAATCTTGACTTTCAAACATCATCAAGCATGAAGTACCACAGTTAAAAACGTGTTCCACCTTCTGACCTCGTGATCAGCCTTAGTTTCATAACATAGATGCTCCAACTCATGTGTTGGAAGAGCAGCCAAACCTTGGGCAGGGCTGGATTCAGTTAAAAAGTTAAAAATAGCAGTGGACACTGCCCAACTCCTCTGCTGTGACCCCTTGAATTGTCACAGACAGCAGATGTGGGAGGGAGCCAAGAAGAGAGAGGGAAATGGAAGAGAAAGTCTGGAATGGATGGAAAGTCTCCACTGGTTCCTCAGCCAGTGACTCCTCTGGTGATCCCAAAGGATGGAGCCAGCAGATGAGGAGAACCAGGCTCCAGAAATGTCTTACCAGTGGATCTTACCAGACTGCAGGTGTTTTACCTGTTTAGCAGGACTTTGTTTGCAAAGTTCATGTTCTTTCCAAATGGGAAATGCAAGGACAAAGCTGTACTTTTACTGCTGCACATTTGTTTGTGAGCTTCAAATTCCAGGTTTTCAGAGAGCTGATTGTGTTCACTGGAGTCTGGGGAGGAGCACAAATAATTCCCATGGACGTGGACTTGAGACATCAGAGTTTGGGAAGTCTGTGGTGCCAAGAAGAGGCTTTGTCACCTTCCTGTGTGTCACTGCCTGCCCAAGGCAGCCTGGTCCTTGTTTCAGGGAGTGGCTTGTCCTTGCATTTTCTCTCTCTTGTGTTGCAGAACTGGAATTGTTTGCCCTGTGAGTAATCCCTCTTGCTCTAGTCCAGTCTGCACTGGGCAGGGGCAGAGCCCAGCTTCCAGCTCCCATCCCAAGCAGGTGAAAACTCCCAAACACTGACCTGAGCTCAGGAAAGGTTCTTGTCTCATTTCTGGAGCACTGGCCACAGCGGCTGCAGGCAGGGCTGGGTTTATCTCTGATGCTTTTTTAACAGCAGTCCTGGATGCAGACACTAAAGTGGGATTTGCAGCACATCGTGAGTGACTCAAAGCTGCATTTATTCCAGAGGACCAAAGGCTATAAGTTTGATTCACAGCTGACTTCACTTTTTTCTCAAAGCCAAAAGGTGTGGAAAACTATTTCCAGCTGAGACTCTGATTTCACCCCAGCAGATAATTTAGCTTCAAGCTTAAACCTGGGCTTTCCTGAAGTGCCAGATCCCTGACTGGTTTAGGACTTTTCCACATTAACTACTTTTGCAGTTTAAAAAATAATGTGTCTATTATTCATTTCACCTCCCAAGGAACTGAGTGAATACAAAAAAAATGGGTCATAAACCCACACTATTATAACAGATAAAAGAGAAAACTAAAGGAGGAATTATGGGAATTTTTGGTTGGGAAGGGCTTTGTGGGGTTGAATGGCCCTCCCAAGGGCAATGCACCTCCCCATGGCTCAGCCTGGGTCCCTTTGTTCCCTGCCACTGCCTCCCCCTGGGTACAGCCCCTTCCCCTGGGGACCCCAGCTAGGAGCTCTCCAGTGCTCCTCCCAGCCTTGCTCTGTGGGGTGAGCTCCAAATGCTGCTTGGACACTGCTGCCCTTGGAGATTTGCTCAGCCCTGGCAGGAGGAGGATGTGTGATCCCCAGGGCTGGCCTTGGGGAGCCCCAGCCCTGTGGCTGTGGGCCAAGGGATGAATTGGCTCCATCCTCCTGGCTCTGACTGAGAACACGGCAGGGAAAGAGCACGGAGCTCACCCTGCTCTGGGACAGAGCTGCCCAGAGCTCCCAGTCTGCCTTGCCCTCTGCAGCAGGGTGAGTCTGGGACTGGCTCGTGGTGCAGAACAAAGCAGAAGGAGCTCAGATGGACTGGGGGTCACTCGTGGCCAGAAGAGCCCATCCCAGAGAGGCAGCTGGGTGCCACCAGCCCCTTTCCTGTGCTCAGGGATGGGCACTGAGAACCAGAGCAAAGGGTTGGTTTGTCTTTGATGTGCCAGTAACACCTTTATTGTCTAATTTAGTAATTTCCCTTATTTAGCAAAAAAAATGAAGCTGTCATCAAAAAGGGGCTGGTACAGCATTGCCCATGGCCATGACAACTTTTCTGCAGAGACCAGAGGACACACAAGGACAAATAGCTGGGAGACCTCTGGGACACACTGTTTGTGGGGCTCTTTTCCCAGTGTAACTGAGTTACTTGCCTGGGAATCCCATAAGCCACAAGGACGTTTCTCAGTAACCAAATCTGTATTGATTGTCCCAGTCAATAGGAAATACCAGACTCTATAGCTAAAAAGATTTCAAGGCTTAAATTAGATTTTCCTTTTGATTGATATCTAGGGTAATTTGCAGGAGTAAAAATGGAAAAGATCCCCATCCCCTTCTGTCTCAGCTTCTGTGAGGAACAGCAAGTTCCTCTGGAGCTGCACAAGGCAGAATTGTTGGCTGTCAGCTCTGCTCCTGGTGCTGCGCTGTCAGGGCACAGGGGTCACTTAGGGACTGTTGTCACATCAGTCACTGAACTGTGCAAATTCATGAGCAAAGTGATAGTAGGTAATTTAAGAAGATTGTGCACACCTTAGAGTCTAAGGCTGTGAGTTAAATAGTACACTCTCCACAAACAAAACAAAGCCTAAAATTAGTCAGAGAGTGCTGCAACGCAACCTGCAGACTCAGATCTGAAAGGGCATGTTTTAGGCTTCTTTCACACATTCCAGTAATGAATGTCTCAGCAGATGGTTTTTATCCTGATCTCCTGATGGATGGCAGTTCTTGGTAACCCTGCTGCAGAGAGCTCTCCCTTCCAGGGAAACTCTTAAGCACACACATAATTCCAGGCGTGCACGGACTCCCCACTGGAGCTGAGTGTGTGCTTACAGCTGAGGATGTGCTTAAGAGCCTCCCTAAATGAGGGCCTTGATGTACAATTTAGAGAGAAGAATATATGCTGCTCAGTAGTCAAAGCAATCCAATTTACATAAATATTTATTTGTTTTCCATTATATATCATTTTTATGCAGGTGCTTGTGGGATGGATAGACGTCAGAACACATACATAATGGAAAAAAGCTTCAAAGGTATGGTATCCAGAGCTGCAGAACCCTGCCCAGGTGTGAGGAGGGTGTCCTAGAAGAGGTGAGATAGGAGCCCGGCAGGGAGGGACAGAGCCACACCCACGAGCTGCCTGCCTGGCTCCCAGCACTCCTGGCCCATGAGGGATGGATGCAAAGCTTCCCAGGGCTCTGCAGCACAGGGAGAAAGGGAGGGCTCAGCTCAGGGCTGAGCTGGCCAGGGCACACTCAGGTAGGACCCACGGGCCACACGGGCTCTGGGGGAGCTGCTGGTGGCACAGTGCTGTTTCCGTGCTCTTGGCTCCTGGCCGTGCTGAGCTAAAAGAAAACCCCAGGAAAGAAGCTGCCCCTGCTCGTGCCCTCTGCTGAGGGGGATTTAGAGCAGAGCTGGAGAAGAGCCCTCCCTGAGGCCGAGGTCCCCTCACGCTGGCACTTGTGGGCACTGGCTCCAGGGCAGGTCTAAAACAGGACCTCAGATGAGTCACGAGCACAAGGCCCAGTGGTTTTACATTTCACTTTCCTCCACGTTCACATTCTCAATATTCCAGTTCCATCTGGAGCACGGGAACGCTTGGCACAGTGATTCCCACAGCTCCTGGCAGACTGGGCTGGGGTTTAGCTCACTGAGCTTGTGCTCCAGAAGATGGAGCAAGAAATCTGTCTCCTGGGGAATAGGCAGCTTTCAGGCCGAGGTCCTGGATGTGAATTAGGGCTGGGAATGTCCCTCAGGGAGCCGAGGAGGGAAATGCCACACAGCCTCTTCCTGCAGTGCCCTGGGGCTGGTGCTGGCTGAGCCAGGGGACAGCAGGGCTGTGCCACAGCCCCTGTCTGCCACGGCTCAGGTGTTCCACAGCCACACCTTGGGCTCAGCCAACGAGGAATATCAAAAGCTATTCCACATAAAAAGCATTAACCAGCTTATAGCCAGGCCTAGAGATCAATAATCACTTTGTAACTGCTGTTTTCAAAAGACAGGGATGCAATATTTGTAGAACATCACCTTGCCACACAGAATCACCAAAGGAAACCAAGAACCAACAACCAAGTCTTTGTTGATAAAGCTAAAGTAAAAATATTGGATGGATTATATATGTATATGATATATATGATTTATGATATACAAAATACTCAATCCACTGGTTTCAGCTACTTCAATAATTCCCTTTTCCAAAAGAAAAATCTTATTATAATAGAGCTAGTTGTTCCCTTTACATGGAGCCATTAACTTCATTAGCTCAAACTTACTGTGTTTACAAAGTTTAAAGGTACCTTAAGCACATGCAGCAGGAACTCCCATCCACACAGAGGGGGACCAGTGGGGCAGAGGAAAAGAATCACAGTGACAGAGAACTGTGAAATGCATTTTCAGCTGCTACATATTTTCTTTAATTTTTAGCATCTGAACCATTTCCTTTACATGTTTATCTGTTTATAAATTGAAAAATCAGGCTCAGAAGCCACAGCTGGAATTCTTTGTGGCCTCAGACAGGCAGGGCTTGCACTGGCAGGGGCAGGGCACAGGGGCACACCTGGCTTCCCAGGGATGTTTGGGAGCTCAGCTGCAGGCACTTAGGAGCTGAGGGCTCTCAGAAGCAGCTGCCTTTCAGAAGCTGCCTTACCTTCTCAGAAGCAGGCTGAAGGCTCCCAGGGCCCCTCTGAAGGTCCATCCCTGGGCTCAGGCAGCCCCAGGGCTCCCTGGCAGCTGGGCACCCCCATCCCAGGGGAGTCTCCTCCCAGGAGGAGCTGGGAATGTGCCCAATGCTCAGAGTGAGCTCTCCTTGCCCTGCCAGGCCCTGACTCACCACATTCCTCACAAAATGGAGAGGAAGAAACTCCCAGTCCCAAACAATTGGATTCTGTCAGCAAAAAGCCTTGGCAGGCAGGTGCCTGGTTTTTAGCTACTTTCATCCAATTTAAAGCATGTCTTTTCCCACCAGTGTTGTCTAACTGGGGACAGCCTGTCCTGCAGTTGGAAGTGATCTCTGGTGCCCCTGGACCAGACAGAGCCCTGCAGAGAGGGGCACAGGGGGCTTGAGGCTGAGGCCAGGCTGTGGAGACCCTGGGCCAGCTCCTGCTGCCCCAGTTCTCTGAGGAGACCAGAGCTGGGGGCTGTGCCCAGAGCAGGGCACCAGCAGAGGGTCCCCTGTGCAGCCTGGCACCAGGGGTGTGGTGGCTGAGCTGCTGTGGAGCTCCAGGGGTCGGGCACAGAGATCTGGGGCTGCCAGGTGTCAGGGCCAGTGTCTGAGAGCAGCAGAGAGGGGCTGGCTGTCACAGTGCCAGCCTGTGGCACCTGGTGACAGGGGCTCACCACACACAAGGGTTTTCAGAGCAGGTTTCTGAGCAGTTTCTTTCCTGTGCATGGTGCTCACTGATGTCATTCCTGAGCTCTTCCTTTCAGCTGAGTCCTTCTGTTTTTAGAGGTTTGGATTTTAAATGAAGAGTCCTGCACTGATGGAATGATGTGACCTCAGGCACGACCATTTTAAGGAAAACACCCATGCTTTGCAGAAGAGCCAGGAAAAGCCCAGCAGAGAGAAGCACTGATCCCAGGGGTGCAGGGCTGGGCTCAGAGAGGCTCCCCTGGTTGTTGTACAGGATGTGTCCCCACTCCTGTGGCCCTCTGAGAAGCAGCAGTGGGCCCTTGCTGTGTCACTGTCCCTGCAGCAGCCAGGGCTGGCCAGGTTAGGGACAGCAGCCAGCACAGGCACTTCATCCCTGCAAGGGTTAAACAGGAGAGCACCTTCTACCAGGGCACAGCACCTCCCTCAGCACCTCCACCTCGGCTGGGGGATCCAAGGCTTGTCTGCAGCATGCCAGGGGAAATTCAGGATAGAAGAGAGGAACCCAGTCTGGGGGAGGGACATTTCCAGTGCCTGTTAACAAAAATAAACCCTCCAAAGGTCTGGTGATTGGTATCCAGGCAACACAGAAGGCAGAGACTTCAAAATTAGAGCATATTCCCAATATTTCTCTAGAAGTCCAGCTGATTGAGTGCTTCCAGTGAGCCCCAGCATTGTGGGGCAGAGCTTTCACCTCCATGAGAGCTGGAGCCTGTGGCAGGGAGGGATGAGGAGGCAACACAGCCAGGGTTCACACATGGCTACAGCACCATGGGCTGAAAATCTCTAAATATGTTTGTTCTGCTTAAATTAATTCATGAAACAAAATTTTACAATTAATGCCAGACTTCTTAACTATCCACAAATTACCTTAACAAAAAATAACTCTACAGCCTTCAGAGTTAAATCCTCCATGATCTTGCATGTAATATTTCTTGAGGGCTAATGACTCCCTGGTGTACCCAGAATCCCAGAATCCCCTGGTGCTCCATAAAATATATTGTGTCCAAAGCAAGGGTCTGATCCCAGGCAACACAGAGCTCTGTTTACGTCAGCAGGATGGGCTCTCAGGCACGCTGTTTCTCAATATCTCCTGGGAAAAGGCAATTCCTGGGAGAGGCCAAACAAGTCTGGGCAGCCCAAGTGGCATTCACTGATCTCTTCCAACTGGTCCTGGGAAGGGCTGAGGGACACCTGCCTGGGAGGTAATGTCAGCCCTAACTGCAGTACAGGTGGATTTTAGCTTAGGGAGATAAAAGTAGCTGAGCTGGATGAAATAAAACAGCTGATGTGCTGGCATTTCTGCCTTTGCCAGCTCCAATTTGCCCAATTCCATAAACAAACCACACAGATATTTACCTGCAGCTGCAGCTCTGCAGGAGGAGGAATTCTCACTCTGCTCTTTGCTGTAGCAGTCAGCAGTCCTTTATAACCAACATTTCCTGAATCTACACCCAGCTCTTGTTTGATTTGTTCCCTCCCAGCCATGGTGTGACAGAGAACACTTTGCAGGGGGCTCTTGGGGCACAGAGGGAATCCTGCTTTTCACCCTGTGACCATCTGCTCAGCAGCACTGCTTGAAATGGAGAAGCAAGTTGATGATAATCTTCATGTCCCTCACCCCAAAATGCAGAGCTGGCTCATTGGAGGCTGCCCAGGCTCCCCTAACGAGCTCTATCTCCTGGAGTAGCCCCAGGAGCTGTAAGCTGCTGGCAGGTGGAGCTGAGCCTTTCATTTGTCTGTCTATGGTTTCCTCACCTCTAACACCAACAGATCCCAGACTGGGGCACCTGGATTTAAGTCACATACACAGGAAAAGCCAACATTGAGCTCACTCATGTGCAGAAGCCTTGGGTCTCACAGGGCTGCCCCATCTCTCTGTAGAAGGATGGGATGGGGCAGTTTTCCACTCACTTGTATTGGGCTGGGGTTGGTGACACTGCAGGGACAAACCCTGCAGCCAACAGCCAGGGAATGTCACTGTTGCTTTGGTTCCCATCTCCTGTCATCTACCAAACCAGGCATGTTTCACTTGGAAGCAAAGGCACTGCTCGTCTCACCCAGGATGATGTCGGACAAGGAGTTTCTAAGTTTTCTAACTAAATAAACATTGCACCGGTGCCAGGCCTCTGCCAGCCTCCCCAGCCCTGATGGTCCCAGCTATTTGTGTGCAGTGGAGCTTCCCAGTGAGCTGCTTTCACTGACCCTGGGAGCTGAGGGCTCTCCAGACTTGTTGGTGTCACTGAAATCAGAGCCCAGAAAGGCAACACCTGGCACCTCCCTCAGGGCTGAACCAGGACCAGGGGCACCAGGCCAGGGGTGATGGACACACAGACACAGACACAACCCCAGAGCTGAAGGAGGGACAGTCACTCACAGTGGAGCAAACCTGGCACGTGAGGGAGCAGGATGGGGCTGGCAGGCTCAGAGCCGAGGTTTGGAGAAGTGATGTCATGTTGTCTGTCTATTTCTTAACCTGAATTTCTCTTTTTGTCTCCCATACTAGACAGCGGGGGCAGCTGGGATTGCAGCTATTTTGCAAGTCCCCCTATTTCACCGGGAGTATTTCATATATACCAGGATCTGCCTTTGTACTGTAACCCAGCACAAGAAAATGCCTCATCTTTCATTGCATCGCTCTAATTCTAAATTACTGGCACTGCCCAGCAGGATGCACACAGCAGCAATGGCACGTTCTTGAATGTCAATGTTAAGACCTATTTATTCTCTATTGTTTTTTTTTTTATTTTTAAAGCAAGACTGGCATTGTACCTTGCAGCAGGCTGGTCTATCCCAGCCAGGGTCACCGAGCGGGCAGGCCGGTGGTCACAGCTCTCATGCCAAGTAGTGCCTCTGTCACCTCCTCTCCAGCCCAGGGGAGAGGAGCAGGAGATGTCTACAGCAAAGGGGGGAAAAAAAGCAGAGCAGAAGTGAGGCTCAGATGGAGGCTTGTCCCCCTCTGTGGAAACCCAAGCATTCCCCAGCTGTAGGATGCTGGATAACCCCAAAACTGGCAGGAGCTGCACATGCAGAGGCTGCACTGGTGCAGTTCAGAGCCTGTGGCAGTGTCGTGCACTCCAGCGCAGCCCCTGCAGCTGGCTGAGCAGCCCAGCTCCCAGAGCAGCTCCTGCCTGCAGAGCGCTGCCCACGGGATGAACACGGCTCCGTAGGAATGAGGGGGAGGGAGGGAAAGGATTGCCACCTCAAAATTAAATATTGCAGTAAACGGCAGCTAGGAGCTCTCACAGGAAAACCTTCAGTACTGAGCAGGTTTTCATTTCTTTCCTGCCAGTGAGTGGTGGATGCAATGGTCTGGAACACCCAGAGCACAAGCACCGGGTGTCTGTGCTGGAGGCTTCAAGGATCTTCCTTATCCCCTGCCCCCTTGTGCCCCGAGCCTTCCTGCAGAGGCTCAGTTGTAATTGACCTAATTAAGCTAATGACTAACGCACCCACTCCGCTCTTGTTTTGCAGATTATATGAAAGAATCTGTGTGCAGCTCCAGCACTTGTTCCCTGAACAGCAGTGAAAACCCATACGCCACCATCAAAGACCCCCCCATTTTAACCTGCAAACACTCCGAGAGCAGCTACGTGGAAATGAAATCACCTGGTCACAGGGAGTCCCCGTATTCCGAAATGCCAACTTCATCAACAGCCAATAAAAACATCTACGAAGTTGGTAAGCAGTGGGTGGCACAGGGGGTTGGTGGAGGTGCTGGTTTTCCCCTGTCCCGGCACACGGATCCTGGGCTTGGCGTGGCACAGGGGGAAGGGCTGAGCACTGGTGTGTCGGTTTGGGGAGCTGAGCCACAGTGGTGGATGTCCTGAGTTGGAAGGGACCCAGGAGGATCAGGAGTTTTGGGACTGCTGCTGGTCACCACAACCCAGTTCTCCTTGCTCCCCCAGAGCCCACTGTCAGCATAGTCCAAGACGCCCGCAGCCGGAGTGCCAGCTACCTTCAGAACCCGTATGACCTGCCTAGGAACAGTCACATTCCTGGTCACTACGACCTGCTCCCCGTCCGGCACAGCCCCACGCACGGGCCTTCTTGGGACAAGCAGTCCTAGAGGCATGGACTCCACTGGCACTGTGCTGCCAACACAGACTGGGAGGAAGCAGAGGAGAAGCCATTCCTTCCTTTCCTGCGGACTGGCAAGGACTTAACACGACATCAGCTTGGGCCAACTGCTGCTGCATGATGTTATTTATAAAGACATTTTTGTATGGGTACCTGGAACTAACGAGAGCCTCCTCCACATGGGACTGGAGCACATCACCCCAGGAAGGTGTCTTCATGCTCCAGGAAAAAACTCTCCGTGGCGTGTTCTAACCCTGGCTTTGCTGTAAAATAAACCACAAAAACATGCTAAGTAGAAGGACTTCAGGACGTACATTTCTACTGACTGCAGCAAGATTTTACTGTTAGGAATGAGGTGACTAGGAATACGCTGGAATTTATTTTCATCTTTGTCATGGGAATGGACATTTTTCTGAATGAGAGCAGGGAAACTTGTCATGTCACTGTCTGGAAAGCTCATTTACTGCCATCACCATGTGCAACCTGTGCAGATCATGCTTGGTAATTAGCATTGAGATTGTCATCTCTGTATTCAGTACCAGAGAATTTGAGTTGAGGAATATTAACACAGACACTTTCTGTGCAGTTTTTAATCTTTCCAAACATCCCCTGATCTTTGCTAATGAATGGAGTTTCCACAATGAGTCTCACACTCACTTACCACACTTTTAACGTTGATTGGCACAGGTAGGCTTTCATTCTCCTTATGCAGCTTCTCTTTTGGTAGCTAAATCCAGCAGATCTGTCAGGCAGTTTAAACTGCTGCCCCTCCAATTCCTGCCCTGGGACGTTGCGGGTTTGCACAGACCAGCCCTGGTTTCATTTCCTTTCTCAAAGCTGAGCCACATCGGCTTCTCTCTCCCATCTTCCCAAACCATCTCCTCATGATTCACTATCAGCATGCCACTGATGACACCTCTCAATCTGATGTGCATTACCATGTAGTGCAACTTTATCCATTGATGATTCTACCTGAAATGTCATTAAATGGAGCTGAAACTGGGTTTTCTTTTTCAGCAGCTGTTTGTGAAGTAATTATCAAGGGTCTGACCCATGGTAAAATTTTGGACTGAGCCACCATATTTTTTTTAATTTATAATCTCTATTGACCTAGAAAGTAGAGTACTTGCCGTTAGTTCCTTGTAGATTTGAGCATGAAGTAGTATTGACTCTAAGTATGTAATTCTATTAGGCAAACGTGGAAGTAGCAAGTTGATTGCCTTTTAAATATAAAAAATATTTTGTTGCACATTTGCCAGTCTGATGGAAGCAGAGGAGGATGACACCAGCCCCGTGGGTTTGCTCCCAGCACGATCCCAGGAGTGACCTGCAGGGCTCAGGACTGGCAAGAGGAGCCCTCAGCTCGGGGGCAGGAGGTGGGTCCCAGCTCTGGGAATACTCCTGGATCCTTGGAGCACCGTGGTGGGACCCAGATGTGTCTCCACATGTCCCCACATGGGCTCAGCCCTCACCCCTGGGATCACAGCCCCTGGCTCTGGGCATTCTGCCCCTGGGGGCCTCTCCCCTTGGAGCCAGGACTCTCCAGGTGGTCAGGCTGGCTCTGAACCCCCAGTCTGAGCCTGGACACCCCCAGGACACCCCCAGGCTCCCAGAGCAGGATCCTGCCCACGAGGTTTCCCGAATGCTGCATGTGTGCATGGGGGCCATGGCTGATCAGCAATAGCAATTTTGTTTTCCAGGAAAGCCTTATTTGAGATGTAAGGAAACAATTATTTTGTAGGTCCAGTAGGAATATATTTTGCGTACATTAATAGAAAGATTTACCTCAAAAATACCAAGAGAAAGGCGGTTGGATAAGGAATATTCTTGTTAAGACCCACCTTGGCACCCAGCACAAGCAGCCTGAGCTGCTGGTCTGACCCACGTTTGTGTGTTGCTGTAGTTTGCAATGAGACTCCAGAGAGCAGAGATGTGCTCAGTTGTTTGGTTTGGTTTTTTTCAAAGCAGGATTTTGAAACCAAATGCAATGATGTGCATAGAGCTTAACAGGAAAAAAAAAAAAAAACCAACAAAACAAACAAAAATAAGTACCTTCTTGTATATCAGCGTTAGCTTAGGAAACAGGCACCAAAATGGCAATACTTTTTTAAGGCAAGACAGATTTGTAATATATTTGTTCACTGTGCAAAGGTATCCTACCTTGTACAAAATAAATTGAATTTCTCTCAATGTGTAGTTCTCCAACGTACTCATTCGCAGAGCCAAACTTCCAGCCTGCACAGATCCAAGCTCTCCAGGTGATGGGGCTGCTCCCCTCAGCCAAAAGCCCCCGTGCACCAGGCTAGGACAGAACTGACAGGATGGCTCAGAAAACCCAGTGCTGCCATTCCAAGCTGGAATAAACCAAAGGTAAGCAGCTCTGCACACCCTTCTCCCAGTTCCTCAGCAGTCTGAGCTCAGTGAGACTCCTGGGAATGCTCAATCCCAGCTGGAAGAGCCCCTGCATGCCCACCACGTGTGGTGACACTGCCTGGGCCTCTCCCAGGTTCCCAGGCCTTTGGATGGACACTTGGTGACCCACGGTCACCCAGCAGCCGTGGGACAGGACACGAGGCAGCCCAGCAGCTCCCAGGGAGCCCAGTGAAAAAAATCACAGATTTGCAGTGGAAACACCTTCAGAATTAATGAGTTCCAGGCAATGCAGCCACTGCTACGTGCTGAAGCTTTTCAATATTTGTGCTTCATATTTCTAAAAATCTTGTTAACTAAAGCCCAGTGTGTAATCTTCTTATTTGACAAGCCACACTCAATAAGCTATTTAAGGCTAGAAATTCATCAGGTCTCAATTTATAGAATAAGTAATTCTAGCTTAATAAAAATGTCTTTAAATCAGAACAATTCTACGTCCTTTCTGCTTAAGAGTCAGAACCTCAACTCCCATCAAAGACAGGAATCACTGATGCTCACTGAATAATTGTTAAAAGTTGGGGCTTTCAAACACGTGGATGACAGAAAAAACTTTTGGAAGCATTCTACAGAATTCCCAGAATCTCAGAAAGCTCCTTCCAGGGCCCAAAGCAGTGTCTGTTACCATCAGTTGTCTCCCATTAGCAGGGAGGAGACACTTCAGTACACAAGTAGTGCCAATTATGGAACAGAAGGATTAATCAGCAGCTGAACAGGACAATCCCCCATTGGAAAGCATTCAGATGAAATAACAACTTGTATTGTTTCTCCCAAACACCTCCGGAAGCACCTTCCTGTCCCAGGAGTGTCACCCAGCCCAGGCCAGGATCTGCAGCCAGGTCCCTGCAATCCTTAGGGAAACACAGCACAGACCCCCAGAACAGGAGGCAAAGGATTTCCCAGGTGGGAAGTTCCTTTTCTGTACACACCCCACTGGAGTTTGCTTTAGAAGTACTCAGCCTCCCACAGTGGTTTGTGCTCCCACCAGCTGCACTGCAATTCCATCTGCTGCAGGAGGAAGAGTTTTGCCTAAAACCACACAAAATCCAGACTGATGTGACAGCAGAGTCAAATCACCTGTGTATAGGAATGAGGAAAGGAAGCAGAGTGAAACTCATCCTGCATTTCCAGCTGACAAATTTAGAACATGGCTGCCAAAGGAAATCAATTAATTCCAAAATCTGCTCCAGTATGGGCAGAGAATGTGCTGCAAGAACAGCTCCTGCAGTGAGTGAGGGGCTGGGCTCACAGCTCACCCTCAGAGCAGTCCCCAGGGCCCCCAGTGCTGCCCCGTTGGTGCTCATGGGCACCTTTCATCAGGACACCTCAGCAGGATCCAAAGCTTCCATCATCTGCTGCAGAAGGCAGGACTTCGTCTCCCTCCAGATTTTCTTCCTCGTGGCAACATGGGGGAAAAAAAACAGGTTTGTACAAGTTATTCAGAGGTTTGAGTAGAGTGAACCCACAGAATTTTCTAAGCTTCAAAGCTTCCTGAAGCTGCCGAAGTGCCCTGGCTACAAACTGCAGCAGCCCCAGGAAGCTCAGAGCTGCTCCCAGGGAAGGCAACTGTGCTACACAACCCCTTCAGCTCCTTTTCCAGGGACACTTCCACTTCAGTGTCTTCTCACTGCCTCTTTCAAGAGGCTCATAAGGTAAAACCTTCAGGTCAAATCCCAATTCTCCCAAGAAGTGCACCCAACACCACAGTGAGTTGTCCCCTGTAATTCTTTATTAGAATCATGGATGAATATATTTTAAATCAATCTAAAAAAATAATGAATCAAAGTACAGTACATGCATAAAATACAAAGTAATTTACAAACAGATCAAAATAGCATCTTCAGAACTAATACCAGGAGGAGAAATGGAGTAAAAAACAAGAAGTGACCGACTACAGCAATGCCTTCCGTGTGCCTCACACATCATGAGCACCGCGAGACAGAAAGGTTGGGAACAGAACACAGCTGGAAGTGCCAACCACATCTGGATCTTCCAAGTGGGTCATATCAGAGTTTGAGAAACGTCCCCTACAATCAGTTACTTCCCTGTAATTGTATAAATAAGTGCAGGCATTTGCACAACAGAGTTCCTTTAAATCCTGTGGGATTGCAGTGGCTGTGGCCCCCAAAGCCAGTGTCAGGCGTGTTCAGGAACAGCACAGAGCGAGTGACAGAAGGCACAGTTCATGTATCCCTGAACAGGCAGATTGGACAGGACTGGTATGGAGCAGCAGACCACAGGAGGAACACATCCAGACAGAAAACTCCAGAGGGTTTTGTTGAAGAACATACAGCAAACCACTGGAATAATTTAAAAATACTGGATCAACCAGAACTGAAAACTAAGGCCAGGTAGTGGAAGTTATTAATTCATCAACTCAAGCACTTGTATCTATTAATATATGTGGCATGCATTAATAGATGTGATATGTAATATGTGCCAACACCCTTCAAGTCTGTGTCCCATGAAAGAAAAAAAAGGCATCCTCAAATCCTGATACCACCAGCACTGTGGAGGCCAAGCCTCCAGCAGCACAAAGATGCTGCAAGTTCCAGAGCTGGAGTGACCCTTCCTCACGGACATGGCTCCTGCATTCACTTCCTTCACAAGGGGCACCTCCGTGGGGTCCCAGCAGCTCTGCCTCACATCAACCTCCTCTGCAGCAGGTGCCAAACCACAGCACCTCACTCAGGCAGCCAGAACTGCTGCTAACTGCTGCTTGTTCACAAGAAATTCTCTTTTCTCCCC